CTGTTCTCGTTTCTTCAGAAGTAAGTTACCGCATCGCAAGAAGAATTTTCCACCTTGCTTCCAGCAGAGACGTAGCTCATTCTTTGAAAATGAGATCCAGCAACATCGCGATTCACTACTTCCATGATAGAAGTTTGTGGTACGAGTATCGGATCGCCAAATCTACGTATGGCTCCATTTTAAGTTGCGTACACGTTGAAATTATCCGCCTCAGGAATATAATCGAATCTTTTCAAAATCATATTCTATTACACCTGTGCCTCCCTTTCTCTCGCTCATTGCTTTATCGTTTGTCTCCTCGAAATGTGTTATGATAAAGAACTGTTTGTCTTTGAATACGATCATTGAATGACGAAACTGACAGAATCATCGATTTTTAATCTACCTATCTAGGCTGTATACATGTTCTAGCCAAATAGTTTAAGTCACCCTACTTGTAGTTGGTCGACATAAGATTGATTCTCCTGAAAATACTTCAGAACTATTTATCATCGTCATCAATTTTTCGTAGATTGTGCTCGTACCGTAGAAGAGTGCAAGTTCAAGCATAATAATACAGATAATAAACGTGAGAGGAGTGAATATACGATTAGCCATGTTCATTCCACTATATCCTTTGATAAACAGCATTACAAATCAATTATGTCAAATATTGTATTAGGTTGAAAGACTATAAATCTTTGCTCGGATATCGATTGAGTGGGTCCGAGATTTCTTCCGTTCTCTTTTCGTGTCATAAAATATCGTGCATCGCATTCAATCGAACTAAGATATCTTTGGAGTTATCAGAGCTTCACATCAGTACAGATTTCTAAAAGTGCTATACGTTAAACTAGCTTCCGCAAATGGAAACAGAGCGGTCGCAGTCCTACTTCTAGAACAGAGGGCCTTGTTTAGTTGTTCCGATCGAAAGACCTATCACGATGGTACAGTGTTATTTCGCCTGGATTTTGAGACAGCATAGTGGTATCCTTCCAGCGTTTCTCTAAGCTTGTTTTGTCTTTCTCAAAAAAGAACACCTACTTTACAAGGCCAGTTTCGCCCATGGTTCGAACCTTCTCTTTTGATGGAAAGCATCGTGCCGTTATATTGATGGATAGCAGAACCAGAGGCAAGACGCATAAGTTCAAGTCCTACAGATTTAACAAACTACGCCTTTCAGTTTTGTGAGACAGACGAAGTCTCGCATCAGAAATACATATTTAGTGTAAAATTATCATCACTATTGATCTTTTTACCCTTGTAACTGACATAACTCCTCAAACACTAGCACCAAACCGTACTTCGCGGGACATTAATGCGGACATATAATGAAAAATCTCGCCGTCCCATATATGAGATACCCGGCGCGAAAGGGTTAAGGGTTAATCGTAGACCTATCCTCGCAATGAAATATATTGTCAACGCGTCGGTGAGCAGATCTGAATATAGGCAAATGGCTCGGTCATCGAGCAAGGAAACGTGAGTTTAAATACCCATAGTTGCAACTTGGACTATCTCTGATGCAAAAAAGAACTTCGATATTCTAAAACTCAGAATTTAAACTGCAGCTCGCCTCTTATTTTCACTAAAGCAGATTTGTCGCGATCGATTCGTGCAACAGAGTAGCCAAAAGAAGCTCGAGTTTGTCCCCAACGATGTTCTACGACAAGATGACATTCAAGTGCGAAGTAGTAACCATGTATAGTTACGGAACACCAGCGAGTACAGTTTGTTCGTTGCTGTGAATTGATTCAGATTTATTCAACTTGTACCGAAATCGAACTACGATATGTCTTTGTTAGTCAGAGCATGGCAGGTGTAAAGAGGATAGACAGCTACGGCCTTTCTTTTCGTTTTCATCCATGAAGCCACATCGCTTGAATACCCCACGTATAGCTTAAGGTACAAATCCTTGCAAAGAAAGGAAAGAAGTGCACCAGATTTGTCACACTACTCTGTTCTCAAATATGCTTCCGACTGACTGACAATAAAAGGAAAATACTTACCCCAATATTTCCTATATTGGATATCCTTGCAAAGCTGTCACCGTTGACAGGAGATTATTAGCGATGTCTATGAGCGGCCATGTGGTACAAACATAAAGCAGAAGTTCAGAACAAATCAATTTTGACAATTTTTTTTAATACAACATCATTAGATGCAAAATTTTGCACTAGTTCCAGTTTTCAGTTCAAACTTGAAAAGCAACGAAGTTTTCATAGATAACAATCTGATTTACTGTCGAATGCTGTAGAAACTTGTTTTGCTGTTCTCAGATCACCTGACGATTGTATTGAAAAGTGTAGAACACACTGGCGAGAGAGGTACTCAAATTGTTTAACATGAGGGAGAAAAAGCTCATTCGGACATTCCCATCCATTCGAATAGCTCGGAATGAGCTTTTCCCCTTGGTTTAACCCTTTCGAGGCGATTCGATTTTGATAGAAAATAGCTTTAATTTGTTGATTTTCATGTATATTCATGCGCGATAAACACACTCGTTGACCTTTTTCGTGTGTGCAGCCATTTGCTTTTCTTTTTCTTGTGTGTATCACTGCATAGATGATTCTCTTTCTCATCGCATTGAGTAATTATTCATGTTTACTTTCTTTTTCGTATGTATTACGCAGTAGAAACGAGATGACGAAACGCAATTTCGTTTCTTTTCTTTTGCATTCTTTCCGTAGTATTATCTTTGATTCTTTTCTCTCATGTGTACCAGGACAGTTGAAGTTTTGAGCTGATTTACATGTCCTTTGAAGAAACTAATACAGAAAACAGCGAAAACTCACTGAGTGATGTGAGTTCTTTGTATGATGATTTCGCTAGAATGCAATTCGAGTCTTCAAGTTCCGAAGAAGTTACTACTGATGACTTAGATTCACAACTCTGGAATAAACTAGAGTCAGTATCGAATGCTGAATTTCAGCAAGATCATGGAATCGTCGAAGAAGTAACGCCAAATTCTCAAGATAATACAACTAGTCCTATTGATTATTATTGACATTTCATCACTGACGAAATTATTAGTCTGATGGTTCATGAAACTAATCGACATGCACAACAACACTTACAAAGCCAGAAACTTAGCAAACGATCAAAAACTCTTAAATGGAAACCAATTACTCGAGAAGAAATACTGAAATTTTTGGGCGGTATCATTGAAATAGATTTGGAACAAATGCCGAAAGTAGACTCCTACCGGAGCAAAAGAAAGTTGTATGGATCCGAAGTTATTCAAAATACAATGTCGAGAGATAACTTTGAATTACTTCTGAAATTTTATCATTTTTCGAACAACGAAGAAGAGCACGCAGATCAAGACAGATTGTTCATATTAAAACCACTTCTGGATTTATTGAAAGCCAGATTCATGTCGGTTGACCATTCAATTGATTGAGTTGATGGCCTGGTTCCTCGTCATCAGCGATCACTTGACCATTGGCCTCGCCGATCTTCCACTGCACAATACGATGGTTGCCCCAATCAGCAACGATTATTGTTTGATCATCATCAATAACCACTAGCCCATAGGGGAAACAGAGCTGATTCGTATTGCTGCCATGCCCAAAGCCCCCGGCAACGACCTTGCTGCTCTCTGTCGCTCCTGTATAGAATAGAAGGCTTCAGTAGTGAGGTTTGAAGGATGCTAGTAGGAACTGAAATACTTACGCAGCATGATCACGAATCCCGTAGCTGGACAGAGACTCTCCATTTTTTAGCTGCTCGTTTGCGAACAGCAGCCGCTGTAAATCTGCTCGAATACCTGCTTTGGTTTGTATTTCTTTTTTCACATTTTGCACTGTGTCAGTGATTTGAGCGTCTAAATTGATCGTCCTTCCTTCGAACGTGCGCACGGATATCACCATGGTACGAGTAAAAAATCTAAATCCAAGAAAATAAGAAGCGAGAGAAAACGTGGTTTTCATCGCCTTATCGCCGATGATATTGCAAGACATGCTTAGCTCGTCTATGTTGCTGGTAAAAAAAGATAAAATAAAACGCTGGGTGATAAACTTCAGCGCATTCAGTGGAAGACTCTGTACACTAAAAGCAGTACGCAGTTAATAGAAAAGCGTATTTTTATGTACCTTGATCAGCTTTTTTTACAAGTAGAAACCATTGCGGAAAGCGTTTGTACCATCGCTACGATCCTCGCGGAGATGGTGAAGGAGAAGATGTCAATTTTATACATCGAAATCGTTCATCCGATATGGACTCCAGAATTGCTGGCATACCCAGAGAAATAATTCGTCGATCAATGTCTACCGATTTCGCGAGATGGATGAAAGAGATCAAAGATTCACAGAACTTCGCGCCGTTGTAATTCTCTTATCACTTGTCTGACAGAGACGTTCAATATACCAACCAGAAGTAAAAAAGAGATCGAAGCAGCGAAGAGGAAGTTTTAGAGGCATAGAGGCTCTATGATGGATTCATGTTGACGAGTTTGTACTCTCACTTTTTGCGTCAATAAAAGAGATCTGCCGATCATCTTGATCTGAGAATAGTGCTTCCGTGAAATCGTGACCATAATCTAACGGATATTTAGAAATTTCCAACTTTGCGTTCCTGCAAGCAATCTTTTTTCACAGGGCAGAACGAAAAAACAATTCGTCACTTGGACACACATGTAAGCACGACGCTTCTTTTTACATCCAGCCAAGTCTCCGGATTTGCCCTGTGGGACAAGTGTCCTGTCAATGCTTCAACTAGGATTTATCCCTGGCGAGAACTTGATAATTCAGTGTCTCTTCTCTGTGTAATATCTGTGTTTTCTCGAATAGTTACCTGCCTATTCGGTATCGAATTTCCTACAACACATTCACTGTGTGTTGAAGACTGAGCATGACCTTTATCAACTTTTGATACGATTACCCATGCTTCAATCGGTGGACATACGGCTCGTATCTGATGAGAACTCTATGCATGCACATAGGTTACCACTGCCACGACACTTTCGCATTGAGTACGTATCAACCAGCGTTGCCAATATCAGTAGATTTCCTGAAGAAACCAGGATCTATGATCAGATCGTCTATTCTCTGCCATGGCTACCAACAAGTACTTCATTGCTACTACGTCCTTGTGTTCACACCAATTATCTCGGAAGTTTTCCTCATTCATTACTATCCATTCGTCGACTGACTATCGAATGCGAACCAGACCCGTGGTCATTGCAATTTGTCGTTTTTCTTCGTCAAACATTTCCCAATACACGAACACTGTACGCCATTCAAATAAACGATTGTGAGGTTATTCCTTTCAGAATCGTTTTGCATCCAATGGTTAATAGCCAAAGAAGAATGTAACTGTTACACACACTTTATTTCAGTAAATTAACATCTATATATAGTATATTTTAGCTACAGGA